AGAGAGAGAGAGAGTGTGTGTGTGTGTGTGTGTGTGTGTGTGTGGGTCTATAGTGTGTGTGTGTGTGACAGAGAGAGAGAGAGTGTGTGTGTGTGTGAGACCGAGAGCGAGAGAGTGTGTGTGTGTGAGACAGAGATGTTTGGTTCGCCGCTTATAGCGCTTTAACAAAGGCACCGGGAGAAACGAATGGAGAAGTGCCTCAGCAGCAGCAGTGTGAGTGAAGCTCTTCTGTTCTCTTTGTTCAGGTGGAGATCCGGCCGATGATGTACGTGGCTCTGACGTACGACCACCGCCTGATTGACGGCAGAGAGGCCGTGACCTTCCTCCGAAAGATCAAATCTGTGGTGGAGGACCCTCGGGTGCTGCTGCTGGACATGTGAAAGCTCTCGGACCCTCAGCCGACTCCTGCCACTCACCAAACATCTCATCTCACGCACAAACCCCATCTGTACACTAGGGACGGAGGCGTCAGCGGTAGAGGGATTGAAGGAGTGGGATTTGCATTGATTGGTTTCATGTTAAGTTGTTTTACTATGTGTATGTCCTCTGGGTTTTCACTGTATTATGAAGCAAAGCGGTCCTGTCATTGTATGTACAAGTCAGCGCACAAAACATGCCCTGAGCAATTATTTGTTTCTAAATGGAGAAGAAAGGATAGTAATATACAGTATATCATATTTAATCTCTTCAGTGTGAAATGATGGGAGCAGCTGAGCAGAAACGCTATGTTCCAGTGAGTTTTTGTACACGAGACCTCGAGGTGTCCCAGACGATCAGATCCCGTCTGCCTGTGTAAAGAACCAAAACTATATGAGATTTTAAACAATAAAATCAATGAGATGCTGATGCTCTCTCACGTCTTTCTGACTCTCTGTATTTCTGTTCTGCAGCCAGCAGTCAGTCCACTTCACTACTGTGTGTGTGTGTGTGAGAGTGTGTGAGAGAGTGTGTCTTCAGTGATAATCCGAGTACAAATCAAGATGATTCACGTCTGTTCATACACGCTCTCAAAATGTTGTGAAATCAGATCAAGTGTTGAGTTGCACTGCGGCATCTTAATTTCACCTGAACTATTTAAAATGATAAACGGAGCTTATTCCTTCAGAAATGTAACGGTTGGAAATCTTAGTTTAACATTGAGCAGGAGGCTTATAGTGAATTTAATGCTGAACAACTGGTACAAATACCAATTCTCAATTGATTGCCATGCAAAATCATTATAACAGAGTTGACACATAAAGAGATTTGTCTGTATAGAGAGTATTTTTTTGTATTATTGTAGCGCTTTTATATTTTTGTTCATATTTTGAATTTTCTGCTTTCGTTTTTAGCTAAGGTTTTAGTTTTGTTGGCGGTTTTTTGTCATTCATAGAATTATTGCCTTGGCAACTTGAAATAAAATGTTCAAGTTTTTAATATTTTATTTCATTTCATGTTTATTATAGTTACAGATAATGAAAATGTCTTTGTGGTTATAGTTTTAGTTAAAGACGAAAACCCTGGTGGGGACACAACTTCAAGTCTTTTTAATGGTGCATTATGCTGACTAAAATGTAAACTATATAAAACACAGGATAGAGGTGGATCTTGAAGATGAGTCCAAACAGCTTGCCAAAACATCTTCAGCTCAGATAAAGAGGGACTGGACACTAATTTCTTACAATGGAGAATAAAGACAAAATGTTAGACTTTATTTCCATATGTTTGTTTTTATCCAAATGAATGCATTCCCTAATAGAGCACAAAGGAGAAGAAAAAAAATCATGACCGATGAAAAAGTGATTTGGGTTTTTAAAAGTGCTTATAACCTTAGTTTTTTTTTTAAATGTGCATGTATATTAAGGAATACAAAAGAGCTGTTTTGTTGAATGATTGCGTGAATGCAGATGCTGCATTCAGATTTAGATTCGCACGGAACTAACACTGGACACATATTACTGATGCAGCTCAGATGAGGTTAATATCTCCTTCAGAGCCGTTGTGTGTGTGGTTGCGTTTAACACGCATGCAAGGCTTCTGGAGAATATGAAAGTAAGTTACAGTGCAAGAGTCTGGTCCACGTCTTCATGCTCTCGGCCGGATGTGGTGACAAGAGCTTCTAGTTTGGTCACATGCTTAGGATGCTTTGAGGTCACTTGGTTTGTTATTCTCACGCCTGAAAGATTAGAAACCATAAACCTCCCCTGCTTTACTATTCCACAAACACGTAGTTTATTTATTAATACTATGTTTAAAAAATTCAATGATCATATTAATGAAAAGGATGTTGTGCTACTAATCAGACATGCATGTTAATAGATTTGTATGCTTTCAGCAGCATTTCTCAGAAGGATGCACAATAAACTAGTAAGAAGTGAGTGGTTTTATTCGATGCAAATGCATAAGAAACATTCAATCAGAAATGGAGAGGACAGAACACATGACTGAAAGGTGTTCAGTAATATTGCATTTGTGCAAAGTAATAATGCCCCAAATGTGCGCCGGTCGACCCGTCTGCTCTCTGCAGCGTCATGCAGGTCCATTTCTGTAGGAAGTGTGTGAAAACTGGGACACTGAACTTCATTTTCCAGACATTTGAAGACAATTGTCCTTGATTTCACAGCAAGCATGTAGAAAATTGCTGATGTGGAGAAATGACTCCTGCAGCCACCAGATGGTGGTAAAAGTACAACAATGAACCATGAATCCTCCTGTCCAGAGGTCTTTTTAACGCTGTGATCTGTTTCAGAACTTCTCAAAAGGTTCACCCACTTTCATTGTTTCAGCCCGTCAAATTAAAATATGGAGTTGTTTCCACTCCCACAAGTGATGCTGAAAATGAATATCTTGATATCTGCACTTTCAAAAAACATTACACCTGAAACTCTTAGTCCATGTTCAGATTAGCACATTATGGATTATGCATTATTATGCATTATGGCCAAATAAAGATTCACAACATTGTTACTCACTGTGAAATATTTTCAGGGAGGAAAACATTCATAAATGTGCTCTTTTAAATTAAAAAAGAGAGGAAATTCAGACTCCGAATGTAAACCTGTGCTCGTGGAGGTGTAGTGGGCAGAAGCAAACGGAGGGGATGAATACTTTCAGAAGGCACTACGGCATCAGTGAACTGCTGAGTGTGAGCCACGGGATGGAGTTAAAGAACGGATGGCACTTGATGTCGCTCACGCCGCCACCTCCTGATCCCAGACGATAACACGCATCAAACTGGAGCAGCTGCGGGAAACAGGAAGAGGAAAACAGCAGCAGCATTACTATGGAGCGAATGCAAAAATAGAATAGAAAACAAGCAGGAAAAGCATTAGAAAAAGATTTGAATGCATTTGAATGCAATGCAAACAAACTGCATTATAAACTGGAAGTCAACACACACAGTAAGGTCTCATGTCAAGTTAAAGAAACTGTTTAAAGTGTTTATTGTCAAGTTGAACTTGAGAAAGAAGCTTAGCCACTATCAGACAACACATGGATTGAGGAAAAGGCTCCTCTGACCTTGTCTGGTCCAAACCCAAAACCCAAAGAGCTATGCTGCGTTCAAGTTCGGTCACAATTACCATGAATATGCATTTCATTAAACTCATGATTACAAGAATTTTATGAAAGCTCCCATCTGACGCACTTTCTTTGTTTCCAAGAGCATACAGAGGTGGATTAAAGTAGAGAAAAAGCATTCCCTGCAAGAAGCATTTTTTTAAATACAGTGGTTCCGAAAATGCTTACAAAATCCAGCAAAGCCAGCGCAGTGCTGCCCTGTAAACACTCAAGCTTTGTTCATCCTGTCTATCAGTTTGCATTGAGAGAGCAGTTACCTCAGTGAGAAGCGAGGCGGCTGCAGTGCTGAGGAATTCTGGGATATGGAGCGGAGTATGAGGGTGAATGCCTGTAGGGTGGCACTGCCACAGGGGCTGCGGAGAAACAGAGTTGAACAACTGAAAACAATGGTCTCCTCTCAACACGATCAAGATGTTTGTGTATTTTTAATTGAAGTAGTAGATTTTCGGGAACAGCTATAATAACTCAACAGCCTGAAATTTGAAAAATTTTCAGTCATTCATAGTTTAGTTTTGGGTTTGTTCATTTTAAACCAGGAATAAAAGGAACTGCTTACCGTGCCAGTAAGAAGCTCATATAGTAAAGCTCCAAGACTCCACCAATCACATGCCTCTGTGATTTTTGACGCACCTCCAATTTCTGCTCCAAATCAGTAAAAACAAATGCAACTACTTATTACATCTCAATAGAACAGACTGTGTTAGAAATGTACTGTTGCAGTTTGATGTGATTGTGAAAAACCGTTCACCTGGTGCACAGTACATCTCTTCCATTGCTTTCGGGTTAATTTCGGGCTGAACTTCTGTCCACAGTCCAAAGTACGTAAGACACGCCTCCCCTGTGTGCAATATGTTTGAGCAACAGTTTGAAAAAACTAACAGTCTTTCTTTTGTGAAACACAAAAAGAGATACTGGACAGGATGTCCAAGCTGCTTTTTTCCATACGATGAAACTGAAAGGTGATTTACACTGTTGAGCACCGAAAAGAGAGTAATCAATCCTCCCGGTCCACCTCCTTGAAGACTTCAGGTCCAGCCTGTTCCAACACACCTGCGGTAACTTTTTAGTAATCCTGAACACCCTGATTAGCCGTTTCTGGTGTGTTGGAGCAAGTTGGAGCTAAACTCTTCAGGATGTTAGCTCTTCAGGAGCAGGGTTGACTACCCCTGCTATTGTTTAATTGTTGAGTTTAATTGTTAATCTTTAACTCTGGTCACTGTCCTACAGAGTTTAGCTCCAACTCCAATCAAACTCATCTGCTTGTAACGTTCTAGCAATTCTGAGGACCATGATCAGCTTGTTAAGATGTGTTTAATTAGGGTTGGAGCTAAACTCTGCAGGACAGTAGCCCTCCAGGACTAGAGTTAAAGAGCCCAAAACCAAAGAATTTGCAACAGGAGACGTACCACTATTGCAGAGTAGAATATTTCGTGGGTTGAGGTCCTGGCACACAATGCCCTGCTCATGAAGACTTTCCAAGGCCAACAGAATCTGAGCCCCCCACAGTCGCACCTCATCCTCAGGGAGTCCCCATCTACCCCACTTCGATTTGGCACTGAAGTTCTTGGCCTTAATTTGGAGGTGATGGCCCAAGTCGTCCACCTTCACCTGCTGCTCTAGTTCAGTCTCGCTCCAACAGGAGCTGTTTGGGGTAGGTGCTGACAGGCAGGAGATCATGCCAACTTGTGGTTGTTTAGATGAAGAGTTGAAGAACTGCCAGTCCTCCATGTCCTCCTTCCCAACCTCCCTCGCCATTTCAACAGTGTTTACCCGAGAAGTCATCTTTGTAAAGTCTAAAGAGATACTTTCTTGTTTTTGAGGTGTACATTCAAATGGATTGCGATGAGAACTGACTTTGCTCAAATCAGCCATGAACTGCGAAATGTGCTCATTTCCACTGTGTTTACAGTTAGTGACACGTTGTTCATGAGGAAATCCATCACACGCTTGGTTTTGTGGAGGTAAATGTGATGTGTTGGGAACTATCCGCACTCTCTGTGGAAGAACATCAACCGTGCTGCAAAGGGTTGGTTGCGCATTTTCACCAAATAAAGAGGCTGAAGTAATCTGAGATGCAATGCTGAATCCTAGAATATCTGAGTTTGATTCTCGTACAGTGAAACTCAGACAGTCCTGAGCAGGTTCCAAAGCATTCCAAGCTTTGTTCAGATCTATGCAAGAGTCAATGCGCTCAATGCGGACATCGTTCCCTAGAAGGTCGGAAGTGACATCAAGAGGATCTCGAGTGTCCACAATCACACAGGGATGAATGGGAAGAGGAATATTATCCTGAGGTAAAGAC